GATACTGGCAGAGATTGATGTTTGTCATGTAGACCTAAAAAAAAAAAAAAAAAAAAACAGTCACAAATGAGGATTTGTAGGCATGACAACTTTGCATCAACTCTGGCTAAAATATTCTACTGCAGATGACTTTATGATCAGGTTAAGCAGGAAATCTTCTAAATGGAGGCCCGAATTTCTCCGGCTTGCAGACTGTGAAACAATCTCTGTTTGGTCAAATGATGCCATAGGCAGGATTCAAGGTACAGACCGAGGCACCCACTACACCATTTTTCCCCAACCAAGTCCTGCCAAGAATGAAATGGTCCAGATTCTTCCGGAGAATATACTCAGAGACCCATTGGAATATGGGTAAATGAAAGAGTAGGAGATGAATGAATTCCTATAATACCCTATTCTCAGTGTGCTCCCAAACCAGTAAAATCATTTAAAATTAAATGGCAGGACAATGGACCAAGATTCCAGTGGGTCTGCTTAGCAAGAGTGATTTCACGCAGAATTCTTTATTGTCCCATGCAAAACAACTTGCAAGCAGCCAGTTCAACAATGCCCCCCAAACACATCAGCCTCCTGGATACCCCTCTACCTTGGTTCTGCCCTTGTCCCATTTGCCTGGTACTTGTGGGATCACTTCTTTCAACTGCAGTAAATATTGCTGAATCCTAGAACAGTGTTAAGATATTTGATAAGACAATCTAAGTTCACCAACCAGATACTGAAAGGACATTTGCACTTAATATGCTTTTTCAATACTGTTAGCCCAAGTAATATATTGTACAGTAAAATATATTGTCTTATTACAGTAATCTCATCCTGAAGAAACAATGAGCAGAAATAGAATTCATATTACCCTGTCTGTCACTAAAGGAGTGTTCTTCAACAATCTCTAACACAGTGTGTATAAAATAATGTAATAATGGTAGAGGGTCAACTTCTCCTGTTCCCAAAACTTGCATCATGCATTAAAGACCATTAATGAAACAAAGAAATTGAAGAGAGCAGAAGGGATGATTAGCTTATCAGAGACATATAGAATTAAAAATACAGTTTGGTCACATAGCTTGCCCCTAACATTAATCTTCATTTTAGTGTCTACAGCTCAGACACAAGGAAAACTTTCAGGGCATGGGTACTACTAGGTATTCTTTCAAAAATGTGACAATTGGTTTATTAAAAATAAATAAATAAGCATTCAGAAATAATCAGTGAAAATGTCTCTTAAGGCCATTATTTTTAGCTGAGCATTGTTGTGACTGTTTCCATGGCTAAACCATGAACATGTTTTCTGCACAAGCCCCGTCAGATAGTGGCCTTAATTAACTCTCAAATGGAGAATGCTGCGGTTTACCACTTATTAAACATCCACCACACCAAGTTACATTTTTTTTTTTTTTTACCCTTCCACACCTCACTTAGTCCAGACACCTCAAGGAACCCACAATGCTGAATAACCAGTGATTTGAAAACACCACCATGTGTAATTACCAGACTGAACGCACGATCTGTGAGGGAAGCTCACGCCAATCTGGGCAGTTCTCATTTCCAGATGGGGTGATCCATGAGTATGTTGAGTATGTTGAGAAAGGGCAGAGCAAGCTGTCCTCACTCCTTCATAGGAATTCAACAGATACTTATTAAGTGCTTGCTTTGTGTACTCCATTTTGAGCCTTCCTCTAGCTTCCTCATGTCTAGGAATTTTCAGGTGACCAAGTGGAATTCAGAATACGATGAAGGAGGAAGAAAACCATCCCAGCATTCAAGATTTTTAAACAGTGTTATCTTCCAGAAAAGAAGGGATAAAATTAGTTATCAAGCTAATCTACTCTTAATACAACATAGAAGTAGACTAACCAAGCTCATTTCACCAGGCATTTTATTCATGAGGGAGATGATGCAGTCTGAGATTCAATTGAGACAGAATTAGCTTTTGTGATTAGCTATCTTGAGTGGTTAAGGTATAGTAATAATGATATCATTATTTCTGTTTTCCTTTCTCTCATACAATATTCAGACACGCGCACACACACACACATGCACACACACATACACACACACATATCAGTTTGGATTTGGCTTGTGAATCTTCAACTAGTGTTGTCTGTGTATCAACTTGTATGCCCCTGGGGGATGAGGGAGGGGTGCGAATTCACCTCTTGTTGAAATCCCGCTGTGTATAAAATGGTCTTGGAATTTGAAGGAAGAAAAAAAAAATCCTTCTATAAAGAGAACATGTGAAAAGGCCAAGGGAGAGCATAACGGAAAAAAAATACATAAAAATGCAAATTTTCCTAAACTTCAGCTTTGGATGGACTGAAGCATAAGTGAGAACTTCAACAAAGCAATAGAAAAAGATGACAGTTCAGAGTTTCAAAAATTTAAGACAGCAGCAGGATTAGACACTTTGGGTTGTCTTCGCACACATTTCTTATGGGAGTTAATTCCATTTGACATGCAAGACCAAAGCAAGATTACAGAGGCATAGCCCCATGGCGAGGTGTATGCTGTAGCTAAAAGCTGGGATTTGAATAATTGTGCAGGCTTACTCCAAGAATCAGGCGAGAACAGAATGAATGGATTATTACAAGGAACTTTGTACATTTTTAACTGCTGGACTTAATAAAATACCCTCTATGTGAGAATAGTGTTATGGTCGTCTGCACTTACTCTAGCTGAAGTTTGTGGTAGGATCTATCAAAAATGAGGAAAAACAGAAGCAGGTTTTAAAAAAAAATAGAATTTGTAATGAATGAGTGGGCTGGGTCTTGCCCCTATGATTTACGAAGGATCGAGAAATTTGGATAACTTGAAATCCACATATTCAACACCCCTCCACCCCCACCACCAAGTTAGAAGGAATTCATTTCCTGTGCAAAGAACTTTCAGGAAAGTGGAAGTAGAGTCCAGGGAAAGTGGGCCACGAAAAGGTGGATTTTTATTTCACTATTTCAGCTTGTTAGGAAGGTCATTTATTACTGTGAAAAATTACTAACTCTCACATCATGTGCTGTGCGCGTGCACACACACACATGATCACTTCCCTTGGATTCTGTGGAAGCACTTGTCTGTAAAAGGCAAAAAAGAGTAACAGTTCTAAAGACTTCTCACTGCTTAATTAACTGTCCAGTGAGAATTATTAAATCCTTTATATAATTCTTATTTCGCGCTCATTAAAGTGAAAGATACAAATGCCGGACAATGCAAGGTTCCAGAGATGGTTTAAGAAAGGAAAAGGTAGTCTTATAATAGCTGAGAATTATGAAAAGCTGCCCGTTAACAGGAGCCAAGTAGACCTTCCATTTTAAAAGTCACTGATTCAGATATGAAATGATTTGATTTGATTTTCTTCCTTAAAATAGCCTTCAGCTCCTCCCTTCCTGAAAGCCCATTTCTGATTCCTCCTGCGGCCCTAACCAGCCTAGTGGGGAGAAGTCAACCCCAGAAGAGGAGGAAACTACTCTGGGGCCATGACACTGGGACAGTGCGCCCTCTGCTGGGAAGCCAGCTCGCAGTCCTGCTTGGGAACCTGCCCCCAGGAGCCTGTCCCTAGGAAAGCAAAAGAGATGCCCACTTCCAAAAGCCTCTCTTGCTCATTGCTGCAAGTGGAGATTAGGAGGAGGACATGAATGGGTGGGAGGGCTTCATTAAACCAGAACTCAACGGCAGCTCTCCTCACAAAACATGTCTGACAACTTCAGGCTGCATGTAAAATGGCAACAGGAATGATGAACACATTACAAATTTGTAGACCCTAAAATTAAGCTCCACCTCATTTATTTCATATTTCATTTTTTCAGCAGGGCTGTTGCTGCCTGGCACAGAGGCACAGATCTTTCTTGATAAGCTCTGTGGTTTCCTTCTTGGAGAAGGGATTTGTGCTCTGTATGGATGCACTCCAGTCTTCTTAGAGCCCAAATTCTGCTTGATGTAGCTAAGACAGAGGTGGCATGTTGCAGTGTTCTGTAGAAGTCTGGGATCACAGCCCTGGGAGGGAAGCAAAGGGATGTGTTACCACAGGAAGAGGCAGAGCTAGTCTTTTTCCCTTGCCTCAGTGCATCAGATCCTCACTACAAAGTGTGATTCACAGGCCAGCAGTTCCGGCATCACCTGGGAGCTTGTTAGGAAACCAGGAGGCTAGGCCTCACCCAGACCTATGGAGTTATAATTTGCATTTTAACAGGATTTCCAGTGATTCATGGGATGTTGAACCTTGAGACGCACCACCGTAGGTATTTGAAGAGCTAAATTTCAAGCAAAACTAGAGTATTGAGCTTTACAAGTAGAAGGGAATGTAGCTCTCCCATCTGCCTCCCAGAATAAGAAGACCTAGGCCCAGAGAACAACATAGCTCCTGACTTATCTAAGAAGGAAATTTTAAATAGACCTCAACTTTGGTTTGCAGTGAAAACCAACAGGGTTATCAGAGCAGTCAGCAGCTGGCTTTATCATGTACTATGAAGACAACAGAAGAGTGTCCCAGCATTACAAGTTACCGAATAATTCCCATGTGAGAGGGACCCTGTCTTCTTTAAACCAGTCATATAAGACTGAAATGACTAGTCTAAATTCTGTAGGAATTGACATAGAAATGAGATTCTGATATTCCTGATGTCCACATAATGATTGATGGAACACATGGGAAAAATAAATTGAATTATCTTATAATCTCCCAGGGAAACATAATTAAGTTGTAAAGCATTTCCATGAAATCCTAAAAGCTTTATATCATCTAGACAGTAACTTCTACTACTTGATCAATAATTATATTAATTATAGGTAATTATTTTGGTAGGATGGTGTGACTTTGGGACTCTGTGTATTCTTGAGCTGATATATTGATTCAGTAGTGAAGACATAGTGGAGCCAGAGATAAAGAATTCTTTGGGGTCCCCCAAAAGCTTTTTGATATTTATGCTAACTTGTACTAATCTGTAATTTGTGGCCACCAACTTGATGCTTCTTCACATAATGAAATGACTGATACAACCTGTGTAAAACCACTGGAATAGTGATTCCATTCACTATCCTTAACTCTCTAAGAACCAGAAGCAAGCTATCTTTAGCAAGTAATAGAAAACATATAGGAAACAAAATCTGCTACTCCTTTAACTTTCAAAATTCCAGGATAACCTTTGTCTGTGTGTAGTCAGGACAAAAGCATCCTCAGGGCAACTTGGACTCAAAGAATCAGACCCAAAGTCAACAATGCTCAGAAGCTTGGTGGGACAGTGACCCTTATATATTTATCACATTTCTTGGCAAACACCTAGTATGAAGAAGATCCCTGAAATATATGTATGGTTGTGCACATTTTTAAAAACTGAGACTTCTACGTGACTCTCTTGCACTTTCTGGAAACAAACTCAATGGGCATGTGCCTCCTCACTTTCATAAAAGTACCAGTGATTATCAACAGAAAATAAGGAATGAGGCAGAGACATAGTTAAAAAGTAATAATTCCAGGAATAATATAACCATGTGTCAGATTCCAAATTTTATACAATAACAATCTTCATTTGTTAACTTTCCTGAATTCTCCACATTATTCAAGATAATTTGTTAACATAAAGGAATAAAATAGTTGAAAGAATCACAATTAGAGTGATGGAAGTGAAATCACTTATAAGTCCATATTATTTTATAATTTCCTTAAAATATTTATAAACCACCTTGTCTATCTGATGGTCATTGTAAGAGATATGTAGATTTTATATGAGTAGAAATATAAAATTGTTTTAGAGCAAGGCTTTGTAGCTACCAGGTTTGATTCCTAAATCTGTTGTATGCCATCCATATAGTTTGAAAAAGTTTTTTTCCTCTATGTCTCAGTTTCTACTTCTGTAGCATGGGGATAATAACAAGACATACCTTTACTATTAAAGACTAGTATTCTTGAAAATCCTCTTTCAGAGGATCTAAAAGTCAAGTTTTAGTTTCCAGTTTAAGATATGCTTTCTTAAATGCATATTGCTTTAAAAGAAGAAGAAATTTGTAAGGACTTAAAAGTATAGACTTAACTCCTGTTATTTGACTCAAGTTTGACAATACACATGCACACACTCACACACACACACAGAGTAGTACCTCACAGCCCAATACCAGAAGTTCCCCCACCAGGGATTTTCCATAAAGGGAGCTAACTGTGACCTAGGAGACGAGTAGAGATCTTACCATTCAGAGCAGAATCACCTGTGAACAAAACAATACAGAAAGCAACCCGAGGTTCCTTTGTCTTTCCCCCAGTAAAATCAATTCAGTTATTATTCACACTTGGGCACAGAATGACATATGAACAGCATGGCTTCGGCCAGCAATCCCTGCCAGAGATAGGGTGGTGTGGCTGATATTCCACACCCTGATTTACTCAGCATTGTCAATAGAGAACGAGGAGACCCATCTCAGGGAGGGAGATTCATTCTCAGGAATAGTTAAGACACTAGTAAAGACAAGAAGGGAGAAAATTCAGAGCAAATTCATTCAAAATCAAGTATTCTAGTATGCCCATCCTCAGGCATAGAGTCCAATGTGATGGGCAATATCACTGGGCCTAACATCTTCCTCTCTGCTTTTTTTTTGTAGAGGTATTGTTTAGCCACATTTCCTACATGTGGGAAGGAAATGAACCACATACATACAATGCTGCATATGGGAGAGAAACAGAAAAGACTTCCCAAAGAAAGTAAGCAGACTAGTGAATGTGGCATTGTGGAACCCATAAAATAGACCCACAATGATTGAGAGCAAGAAAATGACTTGGTCTTTCTTAAAACTACAACAATTAGGCAATTGAGCTAACTAATAGGATCCGAGAAGATGTAAATAAGTGTTTTTTTGTATTAACAAAGAGAGTAAGGAGACGAATTTCAGCTCGAATGAAAGAGGTAAATGATTCTCCCCCAAAGGCAGAGCCAAGATTTCTCAAATGAGCTTCCTCCTAAAAGAGATAGAAGTAAAATATATGAAGCAAGATGACATAATGTGCTGTTGCCTAAATGTAGGCAGCGATGGCGTCCTATTCTCCACACCAAGCTGGGGATAATTGAATGCAAGACAAAGCAAAAAATATAGAAAAGGCCACTCAGAAACAGAAGCATAAAAATGCAGTGTGTGTAACAGTACCGAGAAGGGTACAGCTCTGTAGGACTGATTAATAAGAAGAGCGGTGAACAGAACAGAGTGGATTTGCAGAGATTAGGATGTAGCAAGCTTTGTCCAGAAGATTGTATAAAGTTCTTATTGGCCCTGAATCTGAAATAAGGTAAAGAAAAAAAAAAAATACCTCCGATCAAGAAAGGCCCCTCATGATCTCTTTTGGTGTATTTTAGTCAAGCAACTTTCTTTTCACATATGCAGTTTAAAAAAATAAGAGATAATATTTGCAAACATTTTTAAAATTGCATATAATAAAGTTACAATATTATGCAAATCATTCTCTAAGACATCTCTCTCTCTCTCTCTCTCTCTCTCTCTCTCTCTCTCTCTCTCTCTCTCTCTCTCTCTCTGAGTGGCATTAAGATTGGAGGGGGACTGGTACTATGTTTTTGATGTTATAGTTTGACAGAACAGAACTTTTGAACAAAGATAATATATGTATATATATATAATTATTATTTTTAATGCATAGCCTTTGAGTTTGGAGAAAATATAGAACTGGATAAAGCCTAAAGGTCAGTTTCCAAGGTAACAAGAACAAGATGAAGAGTCAGAAATGTAAGATGGTCAGGTGGGCGTGAAGAACTTGGGCATTTGTACTTTCAAACTCCAGGAGCTCCATGCTAGAGACTGTTCCCTTGCAAAGGGCAATGTTAACTTCCTCCAGGTTCCAAGCAACAGAAGATCATTTTCTGGAGGAATAAAGGGGAAAAAGAGAAAAACAAAAGAACAGAAGAGCCAGCCTACAAGTGAGTGCTCAAGAGTCTAAAACCAATGATAATGTTTAAGAAGCGAAGGAGGACAGACAACCATTTATAATTGCATGGCTTGGGCTGGCAGAAAGAGCCTCGGTGCACGGGCTTCTCTCCAGTGATCACAAGCTAAGACTTGGAACCATCCTTAAAAAGAAAATTAGGTGCTGTAGTCCTTGGAGGATAGAGGAGCTACCTGGCCGGGATCCAGCGGTCTCCTCCAAGGTTTTAATCGGAGAGTTCAAAAGCCACTTCTGTTGTCAGTGCTCTGATTTGTTCTGTGGGGAGTTTGGAGACCTTGATGCCAGGCCAGGGGTTCATGTCTCCAGGGATGAACAGAAGTGGCATCTCAAGAGGGAAGAAAGAGTTCTTTGACTTTTAACCCAATGTTACATCTACACCACAGATCCTGAAGCAGCAGGTGTAGGGGGCAGAAGCCGAGCCTCCTGCAGCTGTGGTCAGATGCCACCCCACTGGGAGCTCTGGGGGGTTAACACTGAGTAATTTAGGCAGGAAAGACAGAAAAATAAATAGAAAGAAGAGCAGGCATTTTTAGGAATGTGATTTCCATGCAACCCCCAATCAGGAAACATTGGTCAAAACGCTTTTCAAAACTTTCACTTGTTGCAAGAGGAGAGAAGGGGAAATGTACAAGTGTTAGTCCATGCGGAATCAGCAAAATCAGGGAAGGGAGGGTGGGGTGGCTGTGGAGGAGGAGCACTACTTACCTTAGGGAGCCCCAGGCCCCGTCTGCCTCTTCCTTTCCTTTTGACTTCCTTGGAGAGATTATCCCTGTGGTTTTTAGGAAAATTAAAACAAAATTTAAAAGATAATAAAGAAAAATAGACATATGCTCTATACTCACATACGCACTGTGTGCATATTGATTCTATTCCTTTCCATAAACAGAAACAAAGACAAAAGAAGAAAAGTCTAATTTTGCAGTTCAGTTTTCCGGCCTCAATTCTGACTCACCAATGAATCTTCTTATATACAAAGCTGACTAGAGGGAGGGGTGGGATTGAATAACAAATTTATGTGATACAATCACATCATTTACAATCACATAATGGACCATATCCCAATTTTCAAAAGGCATAAAGTATCCTCATTAATACGATAAGTGCAGCAGTCAAATCAGCACTGTGATTTTATCAGGGTTTTTGACTGTACATGAATTAGAATGTAAAATGCATACAGAATTTTTAATGGGAAGGCTTTAACATTCACTGAATGTATTTCTTACTGTCATTTGCATCACATTAAAGTGAAATTCTACATAAAAGGATAAAGAGAATATGTCCTAAATTACAGTTTTTCCATAGTTGTCATGTCCACACATAGAAAAATCTGATTCATAAGCTTGAACATGATCCTAAATCTGAAAAGACTGCACCAGTTCTCTATTTGTTTGTGGGTTTTATGTGGCTGTCAGGGCTGGGTAGAGCTCTGTAAGGTCAGATTGTCAGGACAAAGCTAATAAAGATCATGGCAGGCTAGGGGGCAGGCGGAGAGAGAGGATGATTGTATTCACTGTCTCTACTCTTGCACATTATTAAACACTGTGCCTGCATTTTTCATTTCATATCAGACTACTAAAAAGTCACTCGTGTTCCTTAGAGGTATTTTGTTGCTTTTTTAAGGAAGCTTCTATCATCATTTTAGCTCACTGCAATAAAGTTTATAGGCATGGACTTAATGTCTTATAAGCCCAATTCTGTATATTCCACTATGAATAAGCACATATAGCATGCTATGTCCACTAGACATTTTCTATACATTTGTTTCATTTCTGACATGTGCATATCTACTCATAGGGTGAAGTACAGCCCATGTGTCAGAAGTTAGTCTCCAGGTAATGACAACTGGGCTTAAGTGTGCTTGGTCGCTTCTATACACTGAGGCAAGGAAAAGGAACCTGTCATTTCTCATTAACTTCATATCACACATACAGTAGTCAATGATTGGTGTGTAGTGGTTGATGCAGAATCTTGGGAGTCTAAGAGAGTGTTCTGCATCCTAGAAAAGACCAAGGTGTCATCTGCCACGCCAACCCAGTAGACTTAAGAAAAGAGTCTATCTGCTGCGTACATGCTGACGGCCTGTCCACTGGCTAGCACACCTGGGCCGTGCATAGGAATTTGTACACTGAATGACAGCCTTGTTATCATTTTAGAGTTCGAGAGAGAATATTAGCATATAACCAAGAGAAAGACATGCATGGAACTTGAGGTGAAATCGATCAAACACACAATAAGCCCCAACTAGTGTTATTTTGCTCCTGGATAAAACATTTTATGGATATATACGGAATGGACCCACATTAAATGAATGGGTCTAAGAATGGCCAGTCTATTCCTTTTTATTCATTTTTATCTTTAATAATTTGTCTAATTCACCTTAGATTTTATAAGGATCATAGACCTGCACAGACCAGTGTTCAACATCCATGGTCAAATATTGCTGTCAATTCTGGTAGATCTCCCTTGAATATATGTAGATTATGTAAATTTCATATATCGTGAGGTAAATGTGACAATTTCCTTCTGTATCTAGACACATTTTAAAAAACACTTATAATGACTACAGATTGTTACCCCAGGCCTTTTTTTTTTTCCTTTCTCATCCTTTCTCCTCTTCACCATTTTCTGTTCATCTGCTGTTCTTTGTGTTGTTCATCCCCCACCCCGTTTGTTTCATGTCCTTTGTATTAAGTTAGAAATTGGAATTTGGACCCCCAAAAAATATATTGAGATTCTGATATATTTTTAGCCATGATAACATTGTTCTCTTTTATATCTAAAATACTTATCAAGTGGCAAGAATTCTATGGAGAAGACATTTATGGATTAGCAAAAGTTTCCTGATAATAATATTACTTAGTTCAATTTATTCTGAAGCAAAATTCATGTGGATTAACAAGGTGGGTAGTTCACCTGTAGGAATCCTGGCCCTTTTTGTTCACTGACTGGGAAGCATTAGCAAGCTCTTTAGCAATGAATATGCAATACAATGATGCACATCAAGTAACCAGAGTAGGTCCAGAGACAAGCAAACAGGTCACAAAGAGCACCCAAAACTTTAAATTAGATATGATAAAACTGGACTTCATCCATGATTAGACTGTGTAAACTCAGGTAAGTGAAATACTTTTTTTTTTCTCTGAAAAAAATTACAATAAATCTCTTTCATTTCCCTTCTAGTTTCTGAGACTCCCTGAAGAAGTTGCTAACTCAGAAATTCAAGGAGCAAAGAGAAATCATGTTTTTTACCACTTATCAGGAGTTAGCATCTGGGCATGGTGGTGCATGCCTGTAATCCCCGCAACTCAGGAGGCTGAGGCAGGAGGATCAAGAGTTCAAAGCCAGCCTCAGTAATGGGGAGGCGCTAAGCACCTCAGTGAGACCCTGTCTCTAAATAAAAGACAAAAAAGGGCTACAGCTTAGTGATTGAGTGCCCCTGAGTTCAATCCTTGATACTGCCACCCTGCAAAAGGAGTTAGCAAACAAAATTTATTTTAAAATCTTCTGCTTATTACTCTTTGCTATTTTCATAATTTTATCAAGAATGTGACTGCAAGTTGATCATTTGAACTGGAATTTCCTTGACTTCACAAAAAGGATAAGGTTTCCTCATTCTAACATCCATCCTAACTCATCTGTGGCATAACACAAATACATTTTTTTCCTAATTTGTGCACAGAATATATTCTTTCTGTGACAATATGCATTTGTAAATAATAGCAGAATGAATTACTATTTCCTTGAACTCCACCTTTGTATCATACCACCACCAGGAATGTCTCAGGCATTACCCTCCCCTTTCAAATGAAACTAGCAATCTATCTCAATAGAGTCAAATTTATGCCACAATCTTTTCTTTCCTTTTAAATACATGCAATTTGTTTTATAGGGTCTTATTGCCCATGCTTCATTGTTTTCACATTTTCTTCTCATAAAATAGTTCTAGTATTTGACTCTGTATGAATGTGTGGAACTTCTTTTTTTTCTCTCTCTATTTTTTAGAGAGAGGAGGGGGGGGG